TCAGAATGATATATTAGATAAACATATAACCTCCTCAAAAAGAAAGACACCAGCCTATTCAACTTGTTATATCATCCAGGGAGTTGTCGAGTTACAAAATGTCCATGGCTAATACCCAGAAATCAAATACTTTGACATCACAGTGTCCTCAGTGTGTTTCCCAGGGAATGTAAAACAGTCTTTTGAATACATTCTTGCTCTGATGCATGTAAACATGTTCAGTTTATTTAGTGTTCATGTAAACGGTTTGATGGCATCATGAACTGTTTTCTAGGCAGCTAAAGAGCAAAACACTTTTTTTTTTTTTTACCCCATTACCTGTTACATCCTCACATGGAAAGATTAAACAGCAAACACACAAGAACATCCCAGTCCCTGTCTGACCTCAACTGTATGTAAATATAGAGATCCAATCTAAGGTCAAGAGCTGAGGCCTAAACAAACACTGACAGTGAAGACAATTACCAGCAGATTGGCCCATTACCAAAGTAGACCACATTCCAGTCTGAGTGTGTGTAACCTTTGGTCCCCATGTGTGTGGGTGTGTATGTGTGTGTACCATCTGCTGTTAATGAGCTCGGAGTGAGCAGGGTCCAGGTGTGGGAGTGTTTAGTGTACACCGAGGGCCAAGTGAACCTCCTGTTTGACTAACTGTGTGTATGTATGTATATATATATATATATCTACACACACACAGAGCATCCAAATATGACATAATCTTGTGTACCAATGGGCTAGCCTTGACTAGTGAGAGGCGCTTTGGCCTTTTTGAGTTTTAGTTGGTCATTAGTTGGTAGCTATACCAACAAGCCATTGCTGGAGAATGTTAGAGATGGAGATGTTTAAGAAATTGGTAAAAGGTGGCTATCCTGATAGTGAAGGCAAACCCACTGTCAGTAGAGCGTAATGGCTACACATGCATCGAATGATCAACTATGCTGAACTTTGAGATGAATAAGAAAGTTACAGCCAACAAAGCAGTCTCCCTAACTTTACTGCCACAGCCTTAAACCAGGCTTGAATCAGTGTTTTCCAAAAGCTCTGTTGACCCTGTATACACTAAAAAGTATAGCCAAAATTTTTATCCACTCTGGGGAGTTAAGTTAAGTTATTTAGCATGAAACCATTTGATGCTTCATTTATGCAGGCAGCAGCTGTTTTCCAGCCTGACATGAAGCCATACTTTATATTACACTGTTATATTTTTACTACGTCTTCTCCTCCAATGCATTGAAGGAATGTGTTAGACCAGGGCAGTGAGCTAAATCACTGGAGTGATGTGGTGGCCTAATGGTCGAGGCACCTACCACATAACTGCAATCTCAAGTCAACAATAATGTTCTCCAAGTGAACTTCCAAAAAGGTGAAATTAAAGCCTCCAGCAGCTTTTATGTAACATGCAGATTTGTGAGCATGTGTGTGGATTTATAAATGGGGTGTGGTTTCTTCGTGTTTCTATATTTCAAGTTCATACTCATATAACTGTCAACAGCTTAGTGGCAGTAGCAGTAGTTAGACTCTGTGTGGCTCACACA